GAAAGCGATTACAAACCCAGGCATTCCAGCAAAAACAGAATGGACTCTCTTTCAATGGCCGCAAAGATAAGACCAGAGTGCAAAATAGAAAAGGTAACAAAAACCATGGACGGATTATTGTAGAAGAACATGTGTGTCTAGTTTGCGAGCCAAATTCAGATTACCTAGGCCACATTACACCTTCAAGTGGAAGAGCCAAGAGCATAACTACAGGTATCTGGGGCTTTCTAAAGGAGAATAAAGTCAAAACAGAGGATCTAATGGCTATTGAGTGCGATGGCACTAATGTTAATACCGGCACACACCGAAGTGTAATCCGTTTGCTCGAAAAGCGCCTTGGTAGACCACTTCAGTGGTTTGTCTGTTTGTTGCATGCAAATTAATAACCGCTGAGGCATCTGATTACTCATCTTGATGAAGTGACGAGTGGTCCAAATTTGTTTTCTGGACCCATTGGAACTTTACTGCCGACATGTTAAAAATTGCCCGTTGTACCATTTGTGGCTATAAAGTTTGACAACTGTCCTCCTGTGGATTGTGCTAACTTGAGCACGAATCAAAAATATTTTTTCAACATGTGTAAAGCAGTAGAGACTGGGTAATGTCTTGAAAATCTTACGTTGTAAAAGCCCGGGCCGGTGGTACATTCAAGATGGTTGACTACCGTTAACAGGCTGCTTCGGTTATATGTAGCGACAGCTATTCCTTTTTTTTTTTTTTTTGTATGTATTTAGGTGCTCCCAGAAGTCCATACGGTCTTATCATAGAGCACCGCGGGAGAGCATTTAACAGGAAGTTCACGCCTTCTTCCGTGCCAATGTCGCTTGTTGGGCTAGAGCTGGCGCCGAACCTCGGACCTCTGAGTTTTGAGCCAGAACTCTAACTACTGCGCCACGACTTCTCTTCCAAGAATCTTGTGGAATTTATCATGTATGTCATGACTGTAAGTGCACCGCTATAGTTCCACTTTAAAGTCAAGTTGACGTGCACGAAAGGATCGCGACATATGTGGAGACTAACACAGTTAGATACATTAAACCGGAAATCAAAGTGATCGTTGATCCTGTAATTGGCAGAAACGGTTACTTTTGCCATTCTAAGAACATCTTGTTGGCAAAGCTAGCTGATGAAAGAAATCACGTAAGAAGCACTGTGACAATTTTGAGTTCCAAGTTTAAACTTCAATAACAGAGATTACATGGACCTGGTAAACTGGAACAACAAAGACCGTTGCGAACCTCCGATGACGAAATACCTGGCTAAAGCAGAGATAAAAGACTGCTTTAAGAACAGGAATAACCAGCTTTTTAGGAGCTTGCCACAATTTCCCTGCCACACACACGCCACCGAGCGACATATTTGTCTAGTGACTGAGGCATCGGCGGCAGTTTGCACTGAACAACGAGACGGATTTATCCGTTCTGGTATTAAATCCAGAAAGAAAATGAAAACGTTTGACAACAAAGTACAATACAGCCTTTTAAGTAACTAAATTAAACATTGCTTAATTTTATGTAAATTGTCAGAAAATTACAAAACTGCATAAAATTGGTAATATTTTAAGAGTGTTAAGGCACCTCAAGACCAACAAATAAATGACCTCTACTTTTTTGTTTTCACTAATGCTACTATGGAGCAACTATTCTACCTCCTGCCAATTATAGATTTGCAAATCTTCTGCAATACTTTCAACCCCTCTTATTGGAAATGATTCTGATTTAATGTTTTTGTTTGTTAAAATGTTTTTTAATTTTATTTTTCTTTGTACTGCACCAATCAAGTTTTCATAATTTAGATGACAATCAATGAAAGAGAAACATAAAAATTTTAAGCAAATTTAAAAAAGGTTTTGCTCTGAAAATCAGACGGATGTTCTTAGATATTTTACTTTCGAGATAGTATATGTGATCTCTCCACGTCACATTTTCATTAAGGAGAACATTGAGAAATTTCAAAGTGACTTCTCTTTTTACGTCTTGATTGTCGATACAGAGTTTTAGAAGTTTTAAAGGAATATTATCTCGATCATGAAAACGATGGAAAAAAGTATATTTTGTCTTTGTTATATTTAGTAATAATTTATCAAGAAATATAAGACGCAATCTTTGTTTACAGATTACTCTTTGTTTACAGATTTGAACAGAATGTTTATGTGCATAGAATAGGTTTGTATCATCTACAAATAAAATTGTATCTAGTTTACTGCATCTTTTATTTAAATCAGTGATATAGATAAGAAATAGGAGTGGCCCAATATAGAACCTTGAGGGACCCCACACATTATATTCATATCGTTCGTTTTACCATCATTGTAAGAAATGTATTGCGATCTATTTGTAACTTGGTTATTTTTATGATCCAAATTCAACGTTGATAAATGTATACAACCTAACAGTTGTGAGTGCAAAATTATATAACTTTAATAAAAACTTCTGTGAATATTGAAACATCAAACTACAAGCGATTAATGTCAATAAAATCAATGATATAATTAAAAAATATATATATATATATATATATATATATATATATATATATATATATATATATATATATATATATATATATATATATATATATATATATATATATATGTATATATATATATATATATATATATATATATATATATATATATATATATATATATATATATATATATATATATATATATATATATATATATATATAAATACATTGAAAAATAAAAAGGTGCGGGAACTCACCTGTATTTTTCTTTATATATAAAAAATGAGGCAGAAATTACTAATTCAATTCATACCTAATAAGGCGGGAACAAATAAAAGAAGCCATTTTCCAATGTAAGAAGCTTTTTTTTTCAAAATAATGACAAATGTTTGTTTTTTTTTGAGTAGAGGGTGAGTGGGGTCACGTCACTGTATAAAAGTTACAAACTTTACAAAACTTACTTACTTTTATAACAAATCCCATAGTTTTTTCAAATTTTTGTTGGGCATTTCTTCTCGTCTCCTTTACTTGTTCTTGTTTTCTTGTTCTACTACTGAATGCCTTCTGCTAAGTAGCTACGAATCAACGTACTTTGAAGGATCGAAGCTTGTTAGCGGTGGTCCCATTAGTTTAATGAATAACAAAGTTGAAACTGTTTTTTATTTTAATTATTATTAAATCCCTTGTTGGAGTGATGATTAGATTTATTTGCGAAAATCCTCGTTTGCATTCACTTGAGGAAATGAGGTTAATATATAGAACGTGTACCAAATGAACTAAACTTTCAGCAGCTGAATATTAGGCAATTCTGCGCATGAATATGACTCTTCGCTATTTTTTGGGGAAGCATGATACACAACGTAAGCTTATCAAGAAATGATTAGAATCTATTAATAATTATCTTCATAATAGTCCCTAATCATCGTCTAATGATAGTTCCAGTCTATGCACAATGCCAAACTAAAACAGAATCAATTATTAATTTGAAAACCCCCTTCGCATCCTGCCATCACATGCTACAAAAACTAAATAATTCATCAAATATTCTACTTTTATTCTATAAGAATGAATACATTCAAGTAAAGCATCAAATAATCTTGTAGCCGTAACGCTTATAAGTTCCACTAAATCTAAAAATCAATTGATTGATGAATTTATTTCACTGCCTTTTACACAGCATCGAGTTTACATTAAAACTATTTATTTTTGGCTTATAGTGGTTTACTCATCAATTATTAATGAAATCTTATTCTTTAATTTTATGACTTCTGCAATAACTTTTTTCCTCATTTCGTTACCTATATAATTGACAATACTAATGCATGCGTTTGTAGAAATTAGGAAAACGATCCGTTTCGACTCTTGTTATTTTCTTGAAGATCAATTTTCATTTCAAAGTTATTAAAGGACTGGTTTCCTTCCACAACTTTATATGCAGATCGAAAAATGTTTGCTGTTACAATTTTCTCATGCGTTAAAGACTTTAAAATATTGTTTGGAAAAGTCTCTTTTTTAGCTTGATCTACCATCTTTAATTGATGTCTAGCAGATTCTTTGTGATCAAATGTTTTCTTACAAGGCGAACTTAACTGTTGCTTCTCTATCTTCACCATAATTAGAAACTTCCTAATTGAACCATTCTTTCAAACGTTTCATTCTGATCTTAGCTTCTACGATCAATATGCTTAGCTTCTAAAAAATTATTAAACCGTTAACAAAAATTTTCTACGGGGGAATATGCATTTTTTTTTAGATTTCCTAAAGTTTACAAAGGTTGCACAGACACAAAAAAGTAGAGTAAGACATTATGAGTTTGATATTTGGACGAAGGTTGCACAGACACAAAAAAGTTTCGGGAAAAATTTGTTAAAATGCTTGTAATTGTGGCATTAATATTTGCACCAAAAAAAATTGGCGTCTTAAAAACAAACGCTCGTTAAGAAAAGAAGAAAATACTATAAACTTTCTATAATACAATAACCAAAAGTTCTAATAACTGAAAATCTTCTTTAAAGTGACCAATTTTAAGTTACTATTAAATTTTAACAGTAGTAGAAAGTAAAAAAAAAGAAAAACATTGGAATAAGATGCCGTTTAAGTTTTTACCTTCTAAAAAAAATTCTCAAATAAAGAAATAAAATCTTTACAATTTCTCGAAAAAATCGTCCATTTTGGATTGCTTTTTTGCCTCTAAAGAATGTTTATCAAACATCTTTGATACTAGGTTTAGCGATTGTTGGATTTCGACGCCGTTATTTTCAAAAAGAGACCAACATTCAATTGACTCTATTGCACGTGCAACCTCTGATAATTTTGGCTTTATGGGAGGCAAATTGTTTGAACCTTTTTTTTTTTTTTTTTTTTTTTTTTTTAATTGATTTAGGTGCCCCAAGAAGTTCTAACGGTCTTATCACAGAGCACCGCGGAAGAGCATTTATTAGGAAGTTCACGCCTCCTTCCCAACCGATGTCGTATAATTTGCCCACAGGTGGGGTTTAAACCACGGATCTTACGTTTGTGAGGCAAATGCGCTACCACAGCTGCTCTTCGTCTATCTCCTCATCTAACTTAGCACAATCGTTGATTAAAATAAAATCCAGAATTTCTCGATCTGTGATAGCGATTGCTTTGCTTGTACAAATATCAAAATCTATGTTTACGTAATCTTCAACAGCAAAATCTTTCTCTACTAAGCCACGTGATATAAGCTCTTTGACGTTTTCTTCAAGCAATTCAAAAGGATCTTCTTCACCATTTATACTTGCAACCGGAATTTCCTTTAAGATGCCTGCTTTTCTAAAACAATTTATTACAGTATTAGTCGATACAGCATCCCATGACTTGACCAACATGCTCATAGCTTCAAGAATGTTGATATTTAGGGTCGTTTTACCAGCATCGATGTATTTTATCTGACGCCTCACAACATTCGAGCGATGAAAAGTCTTCAACGCTCTTATGACTCCCCGGTCCATTGGTTGCGTTTTGAAGGTTGTGTTTGGTGGTAAAAATACTAATTGAATTGCTTTGAGATTTTCAACATTAGGATGAGCTGGGCAGTTATCTATGATTAGTGCAACTTTTCTACCCTCAGCATTAAACTTTGCGTCAAGTCTCCTTACATAATCAGTAAAGGTTTTAGAGTCCATCCAGGAATTATTTTGGGACTTGTATTGACAAGGTAGGCTTTTGACACATTTGAAACATCGTGGTTTTTCTGCTTTTCCTGATTATAAACATAGGCAGCTTTTTACCAACCCCATTTCCTGCTGCTAAGCCTGTTAAACGAACTATGCTTTATTTTCTTCCTGTGCATTGTTCACCTTTTAGATGAAAGGTTTTTGTCGGTGGCTGTTGATAAAATAAACCAAACTCGTCAGCGTTGTAAACATCGCTTAATTCATACCTTAAGAGGATAGTGGGAAAATGGGTTTGCTCCCAACTTGATGTCTTTTCCGCTGTACATGACCATTCCTCGCCATAAATAGTTCAAAAGACAACATTATGTCTACTTTTCCACCTATCAAGCCACCCTTCTGAAGCCATAAAATCTGCAATTTTGAGTTCTTTTGCAAAACCTAAAGCTTTTTCTCTAATAATGTGTCCATCAATCGGTACATTTCGTTCACGTGCGCTCATAGACCATTTATAATACAGCTTTATCAACGGAATCATGCTTTCCCAAACTTAACTTTTGTCTCTTTGCTTCAAAATAACCTGATTCATACTTGCTAATTATGTCTTTTTTATGTGTAATCCAGTAAGTTAAAGTGTTTTGAGGAACACTGAACTTTTAATGTAATGATAACTGACAGGGTTTTTGTCAAGGGGAGTAAAAAATTAGTTCGAATAACCAAAATTTCGAATAACTGGGTTTGTTAAGGAAATTTCGCGGGGAATTAAAATTTCTTCGAATAAGCGGGAAATTCGAATAAGTGCCACCGGGAGTTTACTGTATATTCTTCTCAAGCAAATTTAATTTTTAATAAAGGCGGATTTCCACGAAACGAATTTATTCGAGCGAAGCAAATTATTTCGTCGATAAGCATGCGCAGATCAAACATTTCTATCAAAATTAACAGAAATATTTTATTTGCGCATGCTTAACAATGAAATAGCAGCTTAAGAAACAATAGATTCTAAAATGCAGCGACGTAATGTTTTCAAATCTGCAAAAAATGTTTTACTTAATCTTAGTTATTTGCATTTTTAATTTAAGCAATTTTAAATATAGTTTTTTCGAATTAAAGATGTTTAATATTTAAAAATAGACTAATTTCAATATGTAATATTACATGAAAAAAGAATGTTTATATAATCAAAAAAATGTGTGTGTGTGTGTGTGTGTGTGTGTGTGTGTGTGTGTGTGTGTGTGTGTGTGTGTGTGTGTGTGTGTGTGTGTGTGTGTGTGTGTGTGTGAATATATATATATATATAGCCAGCAAATTTAGGGAGCCCATTTGAAAAGTTAGATTAAAGAACTTGGGGTAAAATTTAAACTATTCTGAGCACAAAAGGAAGAGAAAATTTACAAAATATTGAGATTTACCTTCTTTTTTTTTTAATATATAGATATATATTTAGATATACTATTAATGATCCACTCACAACTATTAAACCACTATTAAGTTGAGAGTTACTAGAAAAAAAGAATAGAATTATAGAGCAAGGAAACGGTTGACAGAAGACTTAAAAAGTTCAAGGATGTATGAGTCAGGAAATCATGAAGATGGGATAGAGTTCCAAAAGAAATATGAAGGGTTGTGGTGCGGGGAAAAAAACTAGACGAATAAAAATTTTTAGAGCATGCAGGGACAGATGCAGTTAAAGAATGAAAATTTGTTGAATGGCAAGTCAAGTGAGAATGATTTTTAGTTGATGGAACAAGAGATGATAGCTACTTTGAGCATCGATCATTATAGTATTTGTGGAAAAAGAATGAGATGCAACTTTACGACAATGGGAAAGAGGCACAAGCTTAGCAGATAGAGCGGGTCCAACTACGTTTAAAATGCGTTTTTGGACCTTGTCTAGAAGAGAAAGAGCATCATTAGAAGAACAGCCAAAATATAACAACAGTATTCGATACAGGGACGAATAAGAGATTTTTGGAGGTAAAGAATGGAATTGAGAGAGAGAAAATAGCGAGCACGATAAAAAGAAGCTACCTTAGCAGATACTAATTTAGCAATTGATTGTATAAATGGTCTCCATGAAAGGTCAGTAGTAAACGATAATGTAAAAAAGAGAACTCAGTGAGAGGGTTGTTATTTAAAAAAGTAGAAATGTCGACAGTACTGCGATAGTTGTTTGCAGTAAATAGCTGAGTTTTGTTGGAGTTAAAATTTACAAGCCACTGTGAGCCCCAATATGTTACAGAAGTGAGAATAGATTGAGGATCAGCTGCCTGCTCAAAGCGATTGAAAAGAGAAGAGGTTTTGTCAAGACAGGAGTATAAAGTCGAGTCATCAATAAAAAGAGCTATTTTAGATGTAAAGTTTTAAGGAAGATTATTAATATAGATTAAAAAAAAAACAGGACCAAGGATAGAACCTTTAGGTACCCCAGAAATTACTTGAAATAAAGAAGAGTGTTGGCCTTCGAGGATGACTTTAATAAAGCGGTTAGAAAGAAACGATTTGATCATCTTAAAAACTTTCCAAGATACACCATATGAAACAAACTTACGGAGAAGACCAGCATGCCAAAATTTGTCAAAAACTTTAGATATTTCAAGAGCAGTAGCCCTAGTCTTTCCGCCTCCATCAAATGCACAATAAAATCTTTCAGTCACAGTAGTTAGAGCGTCAGCCCTTAGTTAGCCGAAGAGTGAAAGGATCAAGAACTGTTTTAATTGTTTGACATTAAGTAGTTTGACTCAAGATGGGATGTGAAAAATTTGTTTATTAAAAACTCAAAGACCTTGTAAATAACAGAAAGAAGACTGATTGGACGATAATTAGAAGGGTCAGAATGTTCACCAGAGTTTTTAAAAATTGAAACAACAGATGCCATTTTCCAGTATGCAGGAAAACAAGATTTAGCCAAGCACTTATTAAATAGTTTAGAGAGAATTGAAGAGAGTTTTGGAAAACAATTTTACTTGAGATCCATACAAAATTGTTATCGTATTAAGACTACGACAATAATGTTGTATCGACCACAACCCGTAGATGAGTTTAATTAAGATATGACATTAGTAATGTAAGCTGGAATGATTTAAATGTCTAACAAAGGGTTATAGTTTTAATTGGAAGGAAGAGAATGACCATTAGATTCGAGAGTCAAATAAGAAGAAAAGTTCTTTGCAAATAGTTTTGTCTTATCCTTGGGAGAGGTAATAAGATCAGTCCCGCTAATGAGTGATGGAATGTTAGACCTACTTTTGTTAACGACGCTGTTGAAGATTTTCCAAAAGTATCTTAGAGAACATATCATTTGAGATAAGATACAATATTTAGTAATCTAAGAACAATGAAGCCTAGCATCTGACAGCACTTTTTCACATCAATTTCTTGCAATAATAAAGAGCCGTTTGTTCTCCAGAGAGTTGTTCTTTTGAAAAAGAAAAAAAAAACGATTACCATTAGAATAGCATCTGCACAATAGGGTTAAAACCATGGAGTGAAACGAGGCTTGAATTGGAACCAACAGGAACAAAAAAAGCTTCCATTAATACCTGAATCCAAGAGGTTACATAGGACACTCATTTTTTAGCTGAGAGGGAAAGGTACCAACACGAAAAAAATCACAAAAAAAGTCCCAGTCAGCTTTATGGTAGTTGTAAGTACTTTAATGATAAGAAGAGTTTAAAAAGGAAGTACGAGATAAAAGATTTAAAGAAATCATGGTCAGAACCACCTAAAAAAGAAAAAGGAGAAACTGAAAACAAGATAGGATCAGAGACCAGATATAAATCAAGGAGTGAAAGTAAATGATTAGGGTTTTCAGGAAAACGAGTTCCAAAGAATACTATTTGAGTAAATGGTTAAGAAATGCAGAAGTTATAGACTCTAGTACCAGTAGAGTCAATGGCATTAAAGCCAAGCCACTAAGTGTGATTTTTAAAAACACCAATAACAACAATATTGGCAGGAGGTAAAGAGAGAGGGCATGGTCAGTGTGATCAGAAATTACATCTAAAAGAATGCAGTCTAGGGAAGAAGGAGAACGGTAAAAAACAGAAACAAAGGTGATAAAGTGAAGAGGAAGCACATAAAACAATAATCAAAGGATTCGAACCAGGCTTTACGTCAAATAGGTGAACTGATGCGTATGTATACTGTCAACCAAGCATGCGACCATTGGAGCCTTTACGAATCAAAGGATAGTACCTATCAGCACTAAGATCAGAAGAAGGAATAGCAGAATTTAAATTAGTCTCACTAAGAGCAAGCAAGTCTGGTGAATTTTGAAAGATGTAAGATTCAACTGATGGAAGTTTGATTTGCAGACCACAAGTATTTGTGAAAGATATATTAAAACAGTTAGGTAGTGGAGATGGTTTTTTATGTTTAATAATTAGGATTACTTTTGGCATGTTTTAAGTTTAAAGAGAACTTGACTTATTCATAGATAGAACACGGATTTCTAGGCAATGAGCTATGCAATTTTTTTAGTCTTGTTAATTAACCTTAAGTTGTAACATAAAGCTCTTTATGTGGCCTCAACACATTGCACCAAAAGCATTAACAGGGACCATCCATGCGCAACATGACACTGTTAAAAAATTGACATTTTATAGCTGTGGAATCAGTCTTTCTGGGATTACCAAAGATTTCGGGAAGCCTTACTACCAGCCGGCCTCATAACCATTAAACTAAGTTTTACAGATGTACACTCATTAGGAGATAATAGGAATAGTTGCATTGCCACGGAGGCAATGGATTCCAGTCTGCTTATTAACTTCTCTGTAGGTCTTTCCTTTATCTACCAAATTCGAAACTAAGTTTCTTTGAGAAATCGTCCATTGTTGTTTTACAACGCGCATGTTTCTATAAGTTAATCAATTTTATTCAGTTAATCAAAACTAATGGGTTACATCTATATTTTATGTGTTACATATGTAAATATCTTATGTGTTTCATCTGTAAATATAATTTTTGATTTAAACTTACCAATATTTAATTTTTTTTTTCCAACATATATT